CTATTATTTTAGGAAGGTGACCAAGTGGGAAGAATTAAATGTGGCAATAGAATTTTTCTATGTAGTTTTAATTGCCATCGTTATATATGTAATGTGCAAATTTGTTGTTCTTGAGCTTTTCATTTTAAGATCAGCTCTTTGCACAATTAGGTTCCATTTGATTTATGACTTTTTGATAAATTGTTTCTAAAAAAAAGGAAAAAACTCCCTGTGCAAAGTAAGATTTTAAAGTATCACCATTGATTTAAGCTTTCCTACTGTCACAGCTTGTCTGCCTCAGTCTCTCTCCATCATGCAGCAATTTCCTGTTTCTTGTCTTTTTGTTCCGTCTCTGCTCAGCACACTTTGACACAAACATAATAACTTCCTCGTATCCAGCATCCTTTTCCGTACTGGTCTGTCACATTAACTTTCTACTTGTCAAACTCTGCCTCGTTTTGCAGCTGTCACGCAGTTCTTATCTGTCACATCCATTTTATTTTTTGCTCCAAGTGCATCAACTCTTCCTGCCACCTGGGAGTTCAGCCTGAATGTGTTTTAAATGGTTCTGAGTTGTATTGAATTAAGGACACTTGAGTTGCAGTTGAGTCTTTGTGAGTCTTTTTGCACTGTACTTCAGGATACTGGGAAAAGGATTAATAGTGGAAATATATTCAAATTTACTTGTAATAAGAGTAAAATAAAATGGACAGACGGAAACTCTTTCTAGTGTTTCATTACCTTCAAAAAAATATCAAAACATCTTGAAGTCCACTTCTTCTTTACCTTCTGTTTTGTTATTGGCTTTTTTATTCCTACACTTAGCAAACAATCCAGATACAATTTTATATTAGGGGTTTATGTAAATAAATAAGCACTTACAGTAGGATTGGACAAAACAGTGGATTTCCAGTATTCAGTCCCCTGCTAGGGACTAAACTATAGCTTAAATCTGCATAAACTTGTCACTCCATCTGAAAGAACTTATAACACTATTATAATAATTCAAACAACAAATGGACACAGTGGAAACCATCTTTGCATGACTGGAGAGTTAAATAGCTGCAGATTTTCTGATCTTCTCTTTACAGCCAATCAGGACCAAGAAAAATCGATGGTCCTCCTGGATTGGCTGCTTTGCAAGCCCCAGCCAATAGTGTGTCAACTAGCATTGCACCTCGGCACTTCAGTTTCCTGAGTTGCATTTTCTGTTTAATTTTTTAGACTTGCTTCATGAAAAAAGAATCAGAAAACAGGCAGATTTTCCACAGTCGATTTTGCGTTCCATAGAAACGTCTGCGAATAGGCAACTTAAATTCTGCTTTAAGAATTTATGACCTTCTGTTTACATTTAGCCAGGAAGTTTGGGGGAGTCATTTTCTTGTAGCCATTTCCTGGGTTTACAGAAGTGAACATACATGTGCTTTACCTCTGATCTTACCCATTTTGGAAGGTCGGCTCAGCATCAAGTCATAATTAAATCCCTGAAAAATAGAAAGCCATAGATCACTATCTCTAAATTCACACTCATGAATATTAAAAATTATAATAATTAAATGTTCTTAATGAAGATGAGTCATTTTAAGCATGTTAAATCTTGTTACTAGCAGCAATGTGAAAACATGACAGCAGAAAAGTAGTACAGACTGGTGTTTGAAAATCTGGTAAGTTCCTGTTCCAAGTAATGTTCACCAGTGAAGGTGGAGAATTTGAGGACCATTGAGAGCTTTATAAAGCTTATAACCTCGCTGCACCCTGCAGGCTATACATAAGGTGGATTAGGCCGGTGGCTTTGTTTAGACCCTGTGGCTGTTTGGACTAGCCCCGTGTTAAAGCAGTGGGAGCCACAACCTGTCTCTCACTCTCTGGGTGGTTTAATGGGACTTGTTCTAAGCCACAGCGGAGAGAGAAGTAGTGAGCCGTGTGAGAGAGAAGTAGATCTCCAGTTCCCATGATAGCAGAGGCAATGAAAAGCGAGAATCCCTTGAAAGAAGGAGGAAAATCTGAAAGTTTTCCAGCTTTACGTAATCAGGACAAATTAATTATGGAGGTGATGATGCAAACCTTGGGCAAACATGGTGCACTTTAGATGAAGCGTAGAGCTCATTTGAATTGATGATAACGTCATTGTGCTGTCAAGAAGTGTTTTCACCAGATTTCTTCCGTTTCATGTTTTTGTCACATGCTCCTTTTCTAGTTCATCAAACAGATTTTAATATCAGACAAAAACAACTTGAGTAAAAGTCCAACCTGATAAAAAAACTGTTTCCAACTGGTGATTTCATTTGCAACTGGAAAAAGCAATGTGAAAATGTAACTGCCCCTAAATCCATCAACTGCAAACTATATATATATATAGTCTATCACGTCACCTAGCTGTCTGCAGTTTGTTACCGAACAAAACCAGTATGCGACTATTCAGAGCGTTTAAACTGAAAACACGATTTATTTCATTGTTTTCATACGTTTTGTTACAGGACAGAATAAAAATGTGAGCTCATCCATAGCATCAAAAACCCTTTTGGTGAAATTATGGATGGAGAAAATCTTGAAAAGAAATTACAAATGGAGTCTGCAGCATGCTGCTCACTACAGTTGCCTTGACAGCAAAGCCAAATTATCCCCGCTAATATACCGCAGCTCCTCTGGTTGTGTGTTGCAGAACATTATGGTCGCACAAAGACACTGATTCACACTCAAGTTCACTCGTTACAAGTGCAGAGGAAGTCTTAGCCCCAAGCAATGGATGCCTAAAAAAAAGGAGAGGAAGAGCTGTGAGTGACACCGAACCCCTGATGAACAGTCACCACTGTTCCACTCCTCCTCACCACCCCGTCCGTAACACTTTCGCTCATTTTCCTCCTGCCTCGTTTCACTTTGTCCCCTCCTTCCTCTGTCGCTGAATGCATTTGGGTTAATTGTCTGCTGCTGATTAGTGAAGCTCTTGCAGGCTTCTCAGCACCACTGATGCTTCTGAGAGAAGGAACGCTCAGCTTCCCCTGCTTAGTATGCAGTGATAGAAGACGCAAAACATTTGATAAAATCAAGTGTCGCCCTAACAAGCCCCATTCTATGGGGCTTGTTAGGGCCCAGCATATTCCCCATTTGCAGGGCGGTGTTTCAAAACCCCTGAATTTACTGCCATGTTATCTGTTATGCGTTCACATGAGACAGGTTAAAAACTGTAGTTTAGGAGAAAAATACCTTTAGAAAGCCTGGATAACCATTGATAAAAAAAAAAATGTTTTAGTCTTTAAAAACAGTTCTTCAGGTATGATGCAAACTGAGAACTTTTCCTAAATTGAATGCGGTGTTGAAGATGAAGAGATGACTGCAGGAGGAATGTGAGCTAACGTCACTGATAACATATCATGCCTGTCAGTCTGCAGCCAATCAGAACAGGTTGTCTTTCTACAGATATGTACAAAATAGTTCATCTCCTTGGATGTCTTACCTTTCTTATTGATTTTGCAAAAATAATCTTCATTTAAAAATATGGCATTTTTATGAAAAAGTCCTTTAATGTTTAAGTGACAACGGGGTTCTACAAACTAATGACACTTAAATAAAAATACGTAGAGTAAAATAGGTGGTTGCATCATTATTCACCACCTTTAAAGTGACTGGCCTAATGAAACATGTCCAGTTAATTGGTGCTAGCAGTCTCACAGTGAGTGAAATGGACATCAGCTGAGTGCTGTGACTGTGTCTCAAGTGATTGAAATATAAAGAAACCCGTCTCACTGGTTAATCGGGATTCCTGGATACCTTTGCAGCGTAAAGACAAAATAACACTTGAAGTAAATTAGAGAAAAAGTTATTGAAAAGTATCTGTCAGGGAATGGATAGAAAAACATTCCTTCATGAAAAAATGGAAGGAATATGCCACATATGTAAATCTGCCTGCATCAGGCAGATGAAATCGAGAAACTCTACAGACAACTATTGTTGTCCAGGTTCTTCACCATTCAAAGCTTTATGGGAAAGTGGCAATGAGAAAATCACTGCTGAAGACAACTCAGATTGAGGATGAAACTAGAGATGGGAGACTCTATGGTCAAGTGGAAGAAAGTTAATTGGTCTGATGAGATCACAATGAAAAAGTCGAAGCATTTAGCCATAGCTGCACAGAAATGGTTTGAATTCAATGGGGTAGATGTTCTGGAGTGGCACAGTTAAAGTCCAGACCTAAGTCTTATAGAAAACTTGTAATTAATTGGGTTTGTATTTGTGTAATTCCGTATTTTATGTACATGTTCTTTTTTCACAAGAAAAAAAAATTGGCTGCTCTTTGTAAAATTAAGACAAACTGTGTTATTTCAGTACTTTGTGTTGTCTATTGACTCATAATCCAGTAAATCTTGCTGATGAAATGCGATCAGTATAAAGGGAGTATGAATACTTTTGTACCGCACTTTACAGTGTTGTTAACGTCACTGCAAACAAAAACAGTCTTTTTCAACTGCTTCACTAAACAGGGCATTGCTGAAATCTGCATTTTTAGCTTGTGTTCTCGTGTTTCGGTCTTGAAAGAGCTGCAAGAATATACAGTTTCTGCTCTCTCTAAATTCATGCGCAATGCCATGTTTTGGTGGCATCTCATATGTGTGTTTTGAGTCAGGCAGGCAGGGGTGTGTAGAGGCAGGCAGACTGACAGATGGATGATGGCTGTTATCTCTGAACACACAGTCTGCTTCGTTCTCAGCTTGTCTTTTTCTGCTGTTGCTCATGATTTTCTTCCATCATCCTGCAAGTCCGTTTCGGTCCTCCGCGGCTCATCCGCCGCTCATCCACGGCGCCTGTCAGGGGGAGATTCTGAGGTTATTTCCAGTCGTAAACTGTTGCATTGTAGAGCCTGATTATCAGTAAATCGAGGAAGGATGCCACTCCCATGCAGAATATAAACTTCAGTTTATCCCCGCACGCAAGAAATAGGAAGGGGGCAAAAGAAGTCACACGCAGATCCGTTCTAGAAAAAATTAAATAAAAAAATCAACATTTTCCCTCTCATCTCCTCTCAGGGCTCTGGTGTTTATTGCTCATGGAGCTGGAGAACACAGTGGGCCATATGAAGAAATTGCACAGAGACTGAAAGAACGGTCCCTGCTGGTGTTTGCTCATGACCACGGTGAGTGACAAACGCACATCACAGGACTGTAAGCCCATGCATACATTTACACCCACGCTCACTGTGTCCCTCATGTTTATCAGTAGTCGCATACAGCTCTGGCTGACACAGATTATTCGTGTTGGAGCCAACTAATCCTGTTTGAGAAAATGATTTTGCTCTGCAGCTTTCAGTGGAAGTTGTTTTTCTTCCTGAAACATGTTGCTGTACACAAGTTTTCAAAACACTCTCCAGCCCTACCAGTCAGAGCATGAAGAACTGGTTCACCACAAGACACAGACCTGTTATTCTCTGGACCTTCGGTTAATCCAGTGTTTCTCAATACCGCTCCTCAAGGAACCACTGCCCTGCATGTTTTAAGTGTTTCCCTTCTGCCACATACTTGAATGACTTGCTGTGGCATGAAGAGGAGGTCATGCAATAATTTGAGTCAGGTGTTTTGGAACAGAGACACATCTAAAATATGCAGGGTCAGCAGTCCCTGAAGACAGGAATTGAGAAAGGCTGGGTTAATCCTTTGTTTTCTTAAAACGGCGCTTTACATCGAGGGTTGGATATACATTCATTCACCAGGCACTTTATCAGGCACACTTTGCTGTCAGAGGGTGGGGCCTCTCTGAAATGTTGTAATTTTTTGGTCACAGATTCCTCTTGAAGGCTGAAAGATTATTCAGAAATTGTGGTCCAGCATGACAACATCACACAGTTACATCAGAATAGTCATCTGAACATCTAGAATGCAAATCTACCACATCTGTGGTCATAAAGGGATGGACATGACCAACAGGAGTTTTCAGATAGTGTGCTAAAACCCTACACCATCCCCCACCTGCATTAATAACTGGTAACAAGGCAGGATGGATTCATGCCTTCACGTTGTTTACACTAATTTCTCACCCTGCCATCTGAATGTTGCAGCTGAAATAGAAATTCATTGGACAAGGCGAAATTTTGCCCATCTGTTGTCTTCCAATTTTGGTGAGCCTGTATGAATTGTAACTATAGTTACACGTTTTAGCTGACAAGAGTGGCACCCTGTGTGGTCTTCTGCTGCTGTAGCCCATCTGCCTCAAGGTTTGACATACTGCGTTTTTAGTGATTTGAGTTACTGTTTAGTTGGTTTCTGTCATCCATTCTCCTGCGCAGATCTGCTACTCATTGGATATTTTCTCCTTTTTGGATCGTTTGTAAATCCAAGAGATGATGGATCGTAAGATTCCCAGTAAATCAACAGCTTCTGAAATACCCAGACCTGCCCAGTGTTGACAGCCATGCCACATTCACAGTCCAGTTTCTGATCCATTCTCATGCTTGGTTTGAACTTTATGAGGTCACCTTCATCACATCTCAATGCCTAAGTGGATTACGTTGCTGCCGTGTGATTGGCTGATTCACTATTTTAGTTAACAAACACCTGAGCGGGTTCACCTAATGAAGTGGCCTGTGAGTGAATGTTGAACATTTCACACAGTCTGTTAGTGACCAATCTCACATCCTCTGAAAGCTTTGACGAAAAGCACAACTATGGCAACTTCTCAGGTTATTTAAAGCCACAGTTACCACATTGTGGCCATGAGTCTTTTGTTCAAACAACTTGCAGTTCCCATCTTTGGGTGGGGAGATGGGGATAGAAGCATGCATCTCTACTGTTTTATTGTTAGCTTCAATAAATAAAATTGTTTTTTTTTTTCTAGTTGGAGCAGAACAGTCTTCAAGTGGTTTAAATGTGAATGTAGTTAGATGTTTTATTTATGGGAACGACAGGGAAGGCAGAAATCATAATGCTCAGTCACATACTTCACCTGAGCCAAATTAGTTTTTACATAAAAACACTTTCAAAATCTCTGACATATTATAAATTGGATGTGGAACTAGTGAAAATGTCATATCTGGACTGGGTTCATTACAACTAATCTGACAGTACAGGCGTAGCCAAAGGTCAGTATTAACGTCTCTCTAAGATGTTCTCAAAGTATTGAGTAAAAAAAAGTACTTCTTTGAAACAGTGTTTTCATTGTATGGATATGGATGAAGTGTTATCTCTCTTTAGATGTCAGGAGGTCAAACAGTTTTCAGGAGGGGAGCAACATCCCCTCCTGAAAGAAGGACTGGAAGTAATCATTGTAACTCCTTGTACACCAACATCTGTCCACCAGCTTGCATTCAGTATCCATAGTAACCAGCTGTTGTGCTGGATGCTAGGTCCCAACGGTGCCCTGCACCAGTGCTGTGGGTTGTAACTCAGATCGTCCCAACAGCTACAGGTTATGCAGCTTTTCTGTTCTGCAATTTGTATTAGGTTTTTATGTATTACGTTAAAATTGTTCTTCTGAACAAAAACACTGCTTTCAAAATCAGGAGGAAATTAAATTCAATTAAATCTCTGTTGTGCAATGTCAGTAAAGTGCATCATTACCTTACGGTAACTCTCACTCTCTTAAAGTAAAAAAGGCAGAGAAAGAGGTGCTTAAGTAATGAAACACTGGCAAACACGATAAAAGAAGGTGAATTACTCTGAACATATATGCACAGTGACACTTTTTGAAGTATGACATTGTTAAATGAAAAATACTGAACTGGAGCGAGCCCCTGTAGACTTTGCTTCATCTGCAAACACAGATGCACAGGAACACACATCGCCTTAGGGAGTTCCCAACTGAGTTCATCAATTGAGTTCGTTTCTTTTCCACGCTCTCTCATGGGTTTTTCTGTCTATATAAAGAACTGTTAGGTCTTTTTCATTCACAGCCTGCAGAGATTAATTGTTTCTCCTGTCTTATAAATTTTCCATCTGTTAGCAGTCAACATTGTTTCAGCATCATCTTGCTTAGATTTAGACACAGATAAGGATTTTAATGCCAATTTCCGGTCTCTGACTTTTGTAGATGTTTGATCTGATGATTTTTCTTTAAGACCTATATATGCAGCAGACATAACAGCATTCTTTTTTTTTCCAGCCTTGATATTAGGAACACAAGCCAAGTTACATGGTGTGTGTGACAGAACCTTCTCCAGAAAAAAGGATTTGCTGTTTTTTTCATTTCACAGACAAAATAAACTCTTTAGGCTCTTTTTTGACAGTATTATGGGCAGCACTGCAACATAAGACTGCATGTGTTTTCCTAAAATATATAGATCTTTATTTAGGGTCTAAGATTTCCAAAAGGCAGCTAATGTTTTTAAATCCAAAATCCTCCAGGAAAACCCAAAGGGGCAAAAAACATATTTTGCTGCACTCAGCTCTTTTTTTTTAACTGCTGAAGTCCTATTGCAGCCTTAATGAACCTCAGACAACATGTCATAGAAAATGCAGTTTCCCTTTAAACCTTCTTACATCTCTGGTGCTCCTCCAACCTTAAATTAAACATCTCCTTGTTTCTGAAAATAGCTTGAGTTTTCTTCCCCCACTAAGCTGAAAAAGTTTATTTCATCATTACGCAGTCGAACTTAGTAGCAATGTGTGTTCAAAAGATTTGTTTTCGTTTTTTAAGTTACCGATCTGATGGTCAGCTGAAAATTGTCAGATTGCAGTCACCAGTTGATTTCTCTTTGCATCTTTCCACACAAATCATCTCACTGTACTCTGCTAACAAAATGTAAATTTAAGTTAATGTTTCTTTTTATGCCTGGTTTGATTTCTTCATTTCTTTTTTGTTCACCCACTTTGCATCCCTTTCTCATCCGATTCTCCTCCAGGGCAGTTTCCTATTTCAATCAGACTTTATTCTCTTTCCCAGCTCGTTTTGCCTTATTTGGCTATTTAGCCTGTCCCATCTCTTCTAATGACCTCATCATCTTAGCCACAATTTCCCTCATTCTCATCAGTTTGGCTTCCCCTCGATGTTTTTTCATTCATTCTTTATGTCCTTTTAACAATCCACCATTTCAGTCCTTTGTTGTCTAAAACAAAGCAGAAGGATTACACTGGAACAGAGAGAGAGAGTTCCTAAAAAGCCAATTAAACTCTTAGAGCAAAGCTATTTGTTAAATATCCACCAAAGCCTTGATGTTTTTGCATAAAAGGTCTTTAAATAAAAGGTCCATGCATATTGACTAATCTGTCACTGTCTCGTCTTGCAGTTGGCCATGGTCAGAGTGAAGGAGAGAGGATGAACATCAGGGACTTTCAGATTTACATCAGGGATTCCCTGCAGCACATTGACCTCATGAAGTCCCACCGCCCGAATCTTCCTGTCTTTATTGTGGGCCACTCCATGGTAGGACGCTTCCCAACACCCGTTTCAGTTCTTTCAGTGATTTCCCGTTGATTGCGGATGCTACTTCTATGTTTGCTTTTTGAATTATTAGTTTCTCTTTTCGGGTCTTTTTGAATGTTTTAGATTTGAAAACCATCTGGTGTGGCGTGAACTGAATAGTTTCTTGGAGATTAAAGTAAGATCTTTATAATTTAGTCTTGCTGTGAAGCCAAAGCACGTGCCGTTATAATTCTCTGAAATCGAAGATATGGTTTAACCGTAAACAGAGCTGAGCTAGTTTCATATACGTTCCAACATCCTGCCAGAACCACAAAACCAACAAAGAAGAGCATGCCTGTGCTAATTCTTTCTTTAAGCTCCCGTTTTATTTGTTTTTGGCTGGATTGGAGCGCCACGATTGATGTGTGAAGGGCAGATGCCAGCAGCTCAGGGAAGGTTTATTAGCTTTATCTTTTTCTGCACTTTACTTTTCACACAGTGACACATATTCCACACAGCTGCAGCTGCTTCAGAGTACCAAAAAAAAAACAACCCCTACATGCCAAATGTCAGCGTGGTTTTGCTCGTGGACAGAGAAGATAAACTGTTCTCAAATCCAGTACAGTGTCATTTTACCGACCCTCCCGATGCCTGTTGTAGTTCACCATTACCTACAGTTACCTATTAGTATCGTCTGTGTTGAGTTAGAAATGGTTTATTGTTGTTACTGGAGTTACTTTCTGCTCAAGACTGTTCAATGTAGCACTAAATGGCAGCAGAGCAATAACTCCATCAAACTGTCACTCCATTAATTTGCATTGGAGCATAGATAGCTTTTTAAGTAATTTTATTGTCTTTGTTAGCATCAGTTTCTCTCCCAGGCCTGTCTTCCAATCTTACTGTTCTTGCATACGAGCATGAAACTGCTTTTAAAACCTGATTTTTGATGAATAATTATGTCCCAAAACAATCTAATACCAAGTTTAGATTTAGAAGTAATGTCAGAAAGTACGATCATTTGTTACACTGCATATATGTACATAAAAATAAACTGTTTTTTATGTGTTAGTATGATCTCTTTCTGCAACACTAAACTTCTACAAATACAGTAAAATAAACTTATGACAAAAGCTGTTCATCTGGTCCAGATAGAGCTGGTGATGCCAGAGTCTGTGCCTTCTGCAATGGAAAAAGAAGTCACTTGTTCCCAGTCGCAAAAACAACAAGACTGGGAATATTAGAGCTCGGTGAGCAATCCTGAGTTCAGAATCCACTGTGGTTATCCCCATGTAGACGGCTGTGAACAGTTCTGGTATAATCTATAAACAAAATCCAATTTTTTGGAGCGTTAGCTAATCGTTAGCCTAACCTTAAGCTAACAGTAGCTCAAGCTTGAAAACGAGTCAAAATGTTTTCAGCTGATCACTTTTTTTTTACTGTAAGGGTTGTAAGTTTAATTGTGTACGGAATATAAATGGGTATAAATTTCAGAACAGAGTTAAAAGATTTTAGTGGAGTTTTGTGACTGATGGAACAGGGCAATTAAATAAATCTGTGATAGAAAAAGTCTGAAGGGCAGCTGCTGAATTATTTTCAAGTGATTGGTTCAGAGCGTTTCACAGAGCCGCACCAAAACAGCACAGCCTCTCATTGTTGTGCTCCGTGACCCACTAACTCTGAGCACAAACAAACAGAACAAAAACATTAGAGATGAGTTACATAATGGATGTTTACTGTCGGTGTTAGTGGGCTGAGTCAAGCTGGATCTCATTGAACTCATCTCTGTTGGATTAACAAGCTACTCACAGTCTGTACTTGTGCTTTATGAGTGTTTGAGATAGTGTCATGCTTTATATAATTTTTTTTAGGGTTAGGGGATTGATAGGGTAATAAAGTACAAAGGCTCGCACAAGTCAGAAACGCGACAGCTCATGACCGCATAAATCAGAGCGCAAAAAGAAGAACCGCTAATTCACTCAATAACTGTCCTCCTTCAGTAAGGAGCTTTGCCTTAGTTGTACATCAGCATTTATAAGTCAAACTCAACGCGAAGAAAGATTTTATTGTAGATTTAATGAGCTTTACAGAGAAATTAGAACCAAGTTGTTTGAAGAATTAAACATAAGATTACATTTTAAAGAAAAGGTTATCCGCTTTCAGGAACAAACTCCTCCAAGTCCACAAGGTATTTAGGACTTTGAGAGCTTAACTTCAAGACTGGCTTGGTTATTTGCATCAGCGCTTTTGTTTTTCTTGACCTTTTTCATAGTTTCTAAGGGTATCTGAAAGGAGATCTCTGTCTTAATGAATCTTGTAACATCCCTTTTCTAGATTTCTGTTTGGAAGCTCAATTATTATGAATTAAATAGCAGTCAAAGAGGTATCATAACAAACAATCCCTATTTGAAGCATTTTTATTGCAAACAAAGTTGCCCAGATAATCAGGTCTCTTGGGTATAAGTTTGTTCAATATTGTGTCTCAAAACAATTGACTGTTGCAGATAAATTCTGCATTGGCCCTTGTATAATTTTAACCCATAAAGATACATTTTAAGAAAATCTGAGAACCATGGTTGTTCACGGGATAAACAAAGCAAACTCTTCTCTCCAGGGCGTGGGTCAGTCTCTGCCTCGAACTGGGGAGAGGAGAGAAGTTCAGGTATCTTGTCGTCTTGTTGATGAGTGATGGTACGATACAGAGACAGATATGCTAAATAGTGAATCCTTTATGGCGTTCTTATTTTGGTCTGTCATGACGTAGAACGATCTGAGTCATAAAGCAACGGTCTTGATTTACCGGTTGATCTACTTACCATGCTGCACCCAAGATCTTGAGATATGGATCATGACTAAAAGAATAAGATCCTGGATAGAAGAGGCTGAAAGGAGCTCTTCTGTAAGGTTTCTGGATCTGTTTTGACATTTGATCAGATGGAAAATCGGATCGATTGCCGATGTGTCCTTGGGCAAAACACTTCACCCATCTTGCCTGCTAGTGGGGATCAGAGGGCCCGGTGGCGCTGCTGCATTGCAGCCTTGCTTCTGTCAGACTGCCCCAGGGCAGCTGTGGCTACTGTCCAGTAGCTTGCCACCATCAGCATGTGTGTGAGTGTGTGCATAAAGTGCTTTGGGCTCCTCTGGACTTGATAAGGGGCTAAAACCAGAAAGCCAACACCAGGGATGGATGAACGGACTGGTTCTATGTACGTAACGCTGCACTGCCTTCAAGTCTGACTGAAACTGCAGAACATTTTTAATAAATGTGATTTTTTTTTTCCTGCTACTTATAATTACTGCGTTTGAAAATCAAATTGTCCTTCACTTAGGCCTCTTCTTCTATCTCCTTGTAAATGAATACTTGTTTATTGCAGTAAGTTGAGCTTCGGAAGCTTTTAGTATCACTTGATTAATGTGAATTGGTTTGGCTTACATAGCTCATTGTTTAAAGGAGCATCTAGGGAAGCTTTTTCTTTTGTACTATAAAGCCTGGGCTGTAAATGTATACTCTTGCTGTGTGGTCACGGACAAAGGTAGTAGAGTGTCTAAAAATCAGAACTAAATTTAGGACCGTATCCTCCCATGGTTATTGTTTATCTTTACATTTCTTCTTCTCTGATGTGTTTGCTCATTGTCTTGCTTTTTCATCTGATGGTTTGGGGATTTTTTTGTAGTTCTATGCAGATATTCGCCACATCAGTCTGTACTGTTAATCCACCAACTTGTATCCATCAGTTTCTTCTTTTATTATTCCTCACCCTCCTATCACCTCGCTATGTTTTCATTCCAGTCCTTCTTTATGTTTTCCTTAAAAGCAACAAAATCCCAGACTGGGTGCTACGGAAACCAAGCCCATGCTCAGTGTTGTGTCGGCGTGTTTTCACAGGCCTCACTCTCCGGCTTCCCAGTGTTGTAGCGATGCATCCTGTTTCCATTAGCCTGTTCCTTTGCTCCTCTGTGTGTACACGAATCTGTTTTAAAAAGGCCTTGAATGACGTAAAAACTACAAGACAATGAGCCATCTGTAGACTCCTGTATGTGTGCTGCTGACATTGTGATGGAGATTGCAGGATCCAGAACCAACAACTGCAGAAGCACTTTCCCTTTTTGTTCAGATTGAGCGAAAACGCAATAAGGGATTCCATTAGGATTGTTTTTTTTGTTTTTTTCAGAGATTTGGTCCTGGACAAAAGTAATTGATGGGGTGTGAATCCAGACAGGTTTCTCACTGCTTTATATTTACTCAGTTCAGCTGCATGGGTAGAAATATGTGGTCCTTTACTGGAGGAACGGTAGTTTAGAGTTTTACTTTGTAGCTTAGTTTAAAACCATACATTTCTAGTCTGTTATGTGATCAATCTCTGGAGAGCTCTAGATTTCAAATATATATCCTAAGCCTCAGCTTCAGCACTGTGAACTCTCTGAATGTCCCCCATTTGAGCTGGCACTAAGGAATTTCAGCTGTTTTGTATGAGCTCATAGGATCGCTCCAGCATGTTTCTACAGCCCAAGCTTCTTCTTCTCCCTCCAGCTAAAGTTTTTTTTTTTGTTTTTTTTCCCCCTCTCCAGTCAAATTTCTGACAATTGCCCCAAATGTCTAACTTTCCAGGTGCCAACTATTTATGTAATGGCTTATCACTGTTTAGTGTCTATTTGTTCATCTTTTTCCTCTGTATGTATCTCACATTCAGCGTCTTGCCAACGTGGTTACTGGGATTGTTATTACGGCTTATTTTTTATTACTATTATACATAAAAAAAAAATCTACTATTTAAAGGGGAAAAACTACAATAGAAAATTAGGTAAGAGTGGCAAAGAAGACTCCTCTTTTTACAACAGTCTTTCCTGGCATCCCGGGTATCAGCATATTATTTCTTTATTGTCTTGTACATTTCCTCTCTTGCTTGTTCTTACATGATGTCCTGATGTGTTTCTCAGCATTTTATTTTCTGTTTCCTCAACTTAAAAAACATGTGTCCTTTTGGTGGCATATGCATTTCTCTTATTGTAATGTCATAATTGTA